AAAGAAAACAAAAATCCTCACAACTGGACCTATAAGCAGCATCACGATAGATGGAGAGAATATTGAAGTTGTCAAAGGCTTCACATTGCTTGTTTCTACAATCGACGCCAATGGAAGCAGCAGTCAGGACATCAGACGACATACAGCGCTGGGCAAGTCAGCTGCAAAAGACCTCTTTCAAGTGCTGAGGAACAAAGATGTCTCCTTGAGGACTAGGGTGTGCCTGACATAAGGCATGATATTTTCAAATGCCTCATATGCCTGTGAGAGCTGGACAATGAAGAAGCAAGACCGAAGAAGAATTGATGCTTTTGAGTTGTGGTGCTGGTGAAGAATGCTGAAAGTACCATGAACTGCTAAAAGAACTAACAGATCTGTCCTGGAGGAAGTGCAGCCGGAATGCTCCTTGGAAGCAAGAATAGCCAGACTTCGTCTCACCTATTTTGGTCATGTTATCACAAGGGACCATTCTCTGGAGAAGGATGTCATCCTTGGTAAGGTGGAAGGTCGAGGAAAGAGGGGAAGATCCTCAACAAGATGGATTGACACAGTGGCTGTGGCGAGGGGCTCAAGTATAGCAGGGCTCACGGAGCTGGCGCAGGACAGGTTGGTGTTTCGTTCTGCTATACATTGGGTTGCTATGAGTCGAAGACAACTCGACAGCTAACAACAACAACAACAATCGTATGACGACAAGTATAAATCAACAAGAATCATCTTCACTCCAACTTGGCTTATACTTTTTTTAAAAATTTTTGTTGTGATTTGGGTGAAAGTTTACAGAGCAAATTCATTTCCCATACACAATGTCATACACATTTTGTTTCATGACATTGATTGCAATTTCCCACAATGTAACAGCTCTATTCCCACTTCCTCCACTTAGTAACCTCTTCCCTGTGTCCTTCCCTCCCATGCACTCCCACCCCTGAGCTATCTCCCTGTACAAAGACGGCCCTTCTGTTCTCCCACGATTCATCGCTCCAAGGAGTGGATCTATCTGATGTAAACGTTCACTATATATATATATATATATAAAAGCAACTGTCTATTGTTGGGCTGGAAGCCACAGGAGTGAGTTCAATTCCAGACCTGAAGGGTAACCAGGGGCCGTACTCTCAGTAGTCTCACCAGGCTCTATCAGACCAGCAAACCTGGTCTTTTTTTTTTCCCCCCCAATGATTTTGAGTTTTGTTCCAATTGTTCTCCCACTCGCCAGGATCTCCTGCTTGTGGAGAGGGGTTGGCAGTGGTAGCTGGGCACCATCTAGTTCTTGTGGTCTCATGTTCATATAGACTAAGGATTACATGGTCTAATAATCCCTTGGACTAAATGTTTCCATGCATCTTTGATTTTCTTCATTCTCCTTTGCTCTGGATGAGGAGACCCATTGTTGCCTCTAGATGGCTGCTTGCAAGCTTTTAAGACCCTAGTCACTACTCACCAAAGTAGGATGTAGAACTATATTTTTGTGTAGTGTGTTATGTCAATTGAGTATGATATCCTCTGTGACCATGGTCCTGAGCCCACAAGTCCAGCTACTCACTCCATCAGGGTAGCTGGCTGTGGCCAAGAAGCCACCACAACCTTGCCCCTTGTCAGCTCTACTGTACACCTGGACATTCTTATAGCACATACAAATACTCAGGTAGAAACATTGTCTGCCAACCAACCTGATTTATACTTACTGTCTTCAAGATATCTGAATTGTAAATATTCAACTTTTATCCTTTTTTTTTAAATATATAAAACAAGATGTAATGGCTGCTTTTATATTCTAAAGACTTGTATTAGTAGCTCAAAGTTTCTCAATTTCTTGCGGTAACTGTTAATAAAAATGTGTGGTTTCTGTTTTCACTTTTACATCTCTAATGAAGGCTGAGTTTAAAAAGTTTGAAAACAATGAATCTGACCATTCTATAATTGATGACTCTTCAGAGTCGATAGTGGGATTTACATGTGGCAGGGACTGTATCTGAAAGAGAGAGAAGAGCATGTAAAAAGGAGAGGAAGGTAACACAGTCTCTTTCTTATCCAAAATGGTCATCCAAGTTGGAAGGTCACTCTTCAAATTCAGAGAACCAGAGTCCAGCTGATTAGCTACCAAAAGATTGTGAAAAAGGACACTAACATGTATTGTGTGACACCTGTATACTAAGTAATGGTTTCCAGCCTCAAAAAAGCCAGCTAACTTGCCCAAGGTGCACAGCTAGTCGTTTATGATTGAAATCAATAACTGTTTAATGCTGAATCCTTTCTACAACATTATCCTCTCTCCTGGGTCAAGAAGTATGAGAATTTCTGATTTGAGCAACCTGGATTTTTACCCCAGGGTCAACCAAAACCTGGAAAAGGCTATTTTTTGACTTGTACACAGTGTAATGCCAAACAAAATTGCAATTACTTAGTAACTTTTACCTTATTAAAACTGGGCCTTAACCCAGCTTGATTGGTTTGGGTAGCCAAACCAATCTTCTGGCCAACTCCTTCTCTGGATGAGTCCTTGAGAATTCCTAGAATCTGGGGAGAGTAAGGAAACTCTGGAGCCTTCCCCATATGTAAGGAAATCACAGTTTTGCTAAGAATTTGGCCCAAGGCTTGGTGGTGTCAACTCCAAAGACAAGTCCACAGTTTCCTTTCAGGCATGCCTGAGATTCTCTGAAGAATTTTGGCTAGTGGCCAGCATGTTTAATAGGAAGCTCCTTTCTTTATGACATCAGCAGAAAGAGAGGTAGCTAAGGGGACTATTTAAGACATTCTTAGAACAACAGCTCTTAAAACCAAGGGTAAATATTCAGGCTTCACTAGGACCCTCAATACAACAAGTCAGATGGTGAAATATGGGATCTACTCAGAGGAGCACAGTCTATCAAGTGGTCAAGACAAATAAAGCTGGGTCCAAAGTAGCAGTTTCAGGACATAGAGGAGCTGAGGTTAGTAATACATCCCCTCACAGGGGACATGGGTCTGTTGCTGCCTCAAGCCAGCAAGGTGCTGCCATCTCCCTGAGCACTCCTTCCCAACGAAAGTCAGAACCTTCGCAGCCCACCGCAGCAGACTATCCTCGACCTCTCTCCCCTCAGTCAGGGCCTAACCTCTCCCGAGCATCCTCCTCTCGAGGCAATGAGACCCAGCCAAGATCAGAAGCATCCCGTCCAGCCTCTCCTCCCCGGAAGAAACAGCAAACTCACTCAGTAGCAGCTTCCCACAGTGTCTCCACACAGCGGAATGTTAGCTTACCGAGGGAGGAAGCAGCACGAAGAAATATGTCTCTTGCTGGGCGTGAGAGCAGCCATCGCTCCTCATTAAATGCAGATGCCAAAGCCCCTCGCCGGTTGAGTTTTCTAGACCAGAAGGATAACTTACAAGTCTTAAAAGAGGAAGAACCACCCTCTAAGGTCCAGAACCCACAAGGGGTCAGAATTCCCCGTAAGATTTTGGTTCATCCAAAGGATGCAGTGGTCCAAACGGAACCCATTCGGAGGACTGTGACTGCTGCTGAGATCAGATCTCCAGGGAGACCCTCTAGCCCAGAACATGGCAGCAGCCGGGGCTCTGTAGAGTGTCGGACAGCCCAGAGAAGGATCCCCGGCCAGGAGTCTGAATTGGGTCCTTACAGCTCAATTTGCTCAGATGCCAAGGCCTTGCATAAGAATACAAAGTTGGAATCATCTATCAAACTTTCCCTCAGAGATATGGATAGTGGGCACCGAGTTTCCGTGCGTACAGAGCCTGAGTCTGCCCACAAGTATTCTATCTATGCTGAACCCAAGGCCTTCACAAAGGTCTCAGTGTCATCAGAGGTGGCGTCCAACATAAAGTCCTCAACCAGAGGAGACAGTGAGTTTGGCCGCAGGGTCACCATCTCCCCAGGGGGGCAGTCAGTACAGACAGCTCAATGTGCAACAGTCCGCGCAGTGCCTGAGCGTTCCCAGAAACAGTCTATCTCTGTGTCTACAGAGCCTGTCTACAAGCAGCCCATCCAAAGACCCCCAGAAGCTGTCCACACATCCACAGGACCCACTCAAAAGCCCCCCATCCATGCAGAACTGGAACTGACCCCTCGGCCCTTACCTCCTCGATCCTTACCTAGATATGGGCCTGACTGTTCATGGTGGGCCTTACTCAATCCTGAGGGTGAAGTGCCTCAAAGCCGGCCAGCAACACCTGATGTTGAGCCTAAGTCCCCTACTCTCCTAGACTCTTTATTGTCCTTTTTTGAAAAGGACTCAAATCCTTTCTGTGAGGATGCGACATCCCAGAGAGAGAAGGCAAGTCCATCACCACCACCACCACCAACATCACCACCACCACCATCACCACCATCACCAGCAGCAGCAAAAGAGTCTCCAAACCGGGCACCACTGAGGGAAGTGCCACAGGCCCCCAAGCACACCTCCAGACAACCCACTGAAAGGTTTAGTGCTTTCTTCTTGGGTATGTGAAGAAACAGACTGCCCAGGTGCAGCCCAGTTTAGTGAGGTGGGATGTCTGGGTGGGCAGGAAAGGCCTCCTTTTCATTCTGGGCCTCGAGGTTACCCTCCTGCAGTGTCAAATCTAGTCTCATCTTTGAGCCTCCTGACTCATTCCTGCCAGCTTCTTTGAGCCCCAAGCTAATGACATTGATGACAATGCTTGGACCTAGCAGCAAGCATTGAGTGCTCCAGGCAATGCTGCTTAACTCTTCAATGGAAGGTAGTAGAGAATGGTTTACAGGGTCAGAAGCTGCTTCCCAAGACTGGAGATGAAGAACTGAGTTGGGATGAGGGCTGGCAAGGGTTGTTAAAGAGAATAAGGTCCTCAGGTAAATATTCTGGCAACAACATGGAGAAGGTAGGGCAGAGATGAGCTGAGACTTGGACTTCCAGGAGAGGAAAGGCATTAACAGTAGCACAGAGAGAAGGTATGAGAGAAGAATAGGCAGAGTGGGACTGTGATATTTACTCCTAAGCTAGGGTTGCTTCTTGGAGGATTAAGGGCTGAGGGAACTTTTGGGTGGAGAAATGTGGAGTAGACAGAGAGATATAAGTAGTGTGGGGTGGGGTTACATGCATCTGACAGAGGACAAAAAAAATCAACAATCTCTTTCAGATTACTGTGAGGAAATGTACGATCATATCCTCTGGTGGCTAAAAGGTCTGTGCTTTTCTTTCTTTTCAGGGCCTATTGGGGGGCTTGGGGTGGGAAGGAGGAGTTAGAGGGTGGCTATATATCTACAGATGTAGGTCTGTTATGAGGGTGCTAGCTGGGGTTTTGACATGAAGGAGCAGAGAAATTTCTCATCTTACCTAAAATTCCATCATGAGAGTTATTCCTTTGGGAATTAGAACATATATATATA